TACATGCTACAACTGAAGTGTAAGCAGTTGTAAAGAAGAATGGAATCATGACATTTGTATGAAAATAGATGGAACTAGAAATTATTATGTTAAGTGAAATAATCGGACTTAGAAAGACAAATATCACATGCTTTCTCTTATGTGTAGAACTAGATTTAAAATTACATGTGTGTGTCAATGTATGTGTGGAGGATTACAAAACTAGAAAGAAGATCATGGAAGCAGAGAAAGCTATCTTAAGAGAAGTGAGGAATATAAGGAGCAATGGAATACAGGAGCTAAGAAAGCAGGAAGCAATGGCAGGAGGCATGGAGCAGAGCAGTGGGGAGGAGGGAGGAGAAAATAAGAACAAAGTGCAATAATCCATATATGAAGGCACCATGATGACACCCAACACTTTCTATGCTTATCTAAAACTCGAAGACATCATGCACTTGGTTGTAGGACATAGATCAATCTGGAGATGATCAAGAAATTTTTTTCCAGTTGCCTAGCTTTAAAAGTACTGGAAGTGCTATGTGGTAGTTAGTTATCTGGGTGGGGGTGTACAGCAATGATAGTGTCCAGTACTGGGCCCTTCAGGCTACAGTATCAACCCATCAGGCAAGATGTGCCTCCTGGTGCAATAACAATATGACTGTTATGGAAAGAACTAATCACTTTCTGAATGGATTTGATACCTGTTCGTAGGAGGTAATTCACACCTACAACTGTAAACCTTGTCAAAAGCCCATAGCTGAGGTAGCCATAGATCCTAGGGAAACATGTTACTATTGTTTTTGCTAAATAGACATATTCTCAAACTGCCTTCTAAACATTTGTTTACACCCATAGATTAGTAATACTCTTCGCCTCATTCAGAGAAGCCCTTTGCAGTGGGCAGCGGTTAACACCGAGACTTATAGCTTGTTGAAGTGCTGAAAGTCACTGTGTATGGTCATCTTGAAGTGAGGCCTCCATGTCCACCCTCCCCCTAGGCTGAGAACATTGCAAAAGGGAGAAAGGATGTAAGAGCCAGAAGATGAGGAGGAATGCCATGAAATGCAGTCTTCTGGACACAGCATGGCCCTTGTGCTCATGAGTTCACAGCAGCTTGCTCACCTGCACAAAGACCAAATCAGCCAAAAGGCCAGTGCAGTGGAGGGGTTCACAAGGACCTGTCCTTAACCGAGATAACTGATGGCTTCTAAGAGGGAGAGTCTTTTTGCTTTTGGTATGTGGCTGCTGGTAGGTTACCCATAGTCTAGTGGATGGTCCCACACTCTTGTGCATATGGGTAGCACTAACTTAAGGGAGATGTGTTATAGGGCCTGGAGGAAGCTGGAAGAGAGGGAAGGGTAGATACGATCAAAATATGCTGTATAAGTATAAGAAATACTCAAAGAATAAACAAAAAATTATGTTTTAAAAAACAAAGTTGAGAGATGTCAAATGTTGGAGAGAACATTAAGTGATC